ATACATATGTTTTTTAGCTTTATAAAGCCTTTGTACTAAAAATGTATGGCAGAAATAATTCCTAGTGGATTTATACTCAAAGATTTAAACTCATTCCTTTTAAGGTTGTGAATAAGTCCAGGATGACTGTGTTACTTCTGCCTTTCAACACATTACGGATACCAAACCAGTGCAGCAAGATTAAAAAAAAAAAAAAAAAGACAATAAGCACAAAAATAGAAAGATTGAAGCGAGGGAGGTAATTGTCATTATTTCTAAAGAAAATCATTTATATAGGAAACCAAAAAGAATCAGCAGAAATTATTAGTAGCAATACAAGGGTTCAGCTAGGTTGCCAGCTTGGAAAAGCAACATATAAAAATCAATAGCTTTCCTCTGTATTGGGAATAACCAATTATAAACTATGATGATGAGAAGATATCATTTATAATAGTGACATAAACTAAAAGCTATCTAGGAATAAATCTCAGAAAGAATTCATAAAACATATAAGGGAAATTTAAAACCCTATTACATGAGTTTTATTATGGTATTATAGAATATAAAAGCAGCATTCATAAATGGATTGATTGAATATTATGAAGGTGTTGCATTTCCTCCATTAAAATTTAAATTCAGTGTAATTCCAATCAACATCTGAGAAATAATTTTCTTCATGGGGCAGACTTGAGTCTAAAATTTATATGGGAGAATAAAGATAAAGAAGGATCCTTTTTTAATTTTTTTTTCTTTACAAGGCATTAACTTTATACAACAGAAGTTGGCAAACTACAGCCCACAAGCCTAGTCCAGGCTACTGCCTCTTCTTATGAATAAAGTTTTATTGGGACACAGCCACATCCATTTATTCTGCATTATCTTTGACTGCTTTTATACTGCTATAACAGGGTTGAGTGGTTAGAACAGAATGTGTGACTGGCTGAATCTGGCCTTTTATTTATTTTTCCTTTAATATTTTATCATCAGGTTGGTTCCCAGTGCTCATCCCAACAAGTGCCCTCCTCCATGCCCATCACTCCCCTTTTTCTCTCCCCCACCCCCATCAGCCCTCAGTTTGTTCTCGGCATTCAAGAGTCTCTCATGGTTTGCCTCCCTCCCTCTCCCCAACTATTTTCCCCTTCTTCTCCTGCATTGTCTTCCATTAAGTTCCTCCTAATCCACCTAATGTGCAAACATAGAGTATCTGTCCTTCTCTGCCTGACTTACTTCGCTCAGCATAACACCCTCAAGTTGCATTCATGTTGCTACACATGGCCAGATTTCATTCTTTCTCATTACCATGTAGTATTCCATTGTATAGATAAACCACATCTTCTTGATCTATTCATCAGTTGATGGGCACTTACACTCTTTCCATGTTTTGGCTATGGTTGAGAGTGCTGCTATGAACATTGGGGTCCATGTGTCCCTATGCATCAGCACTCCTGTATCCCTTGGGTAAATTCCTAGCAGTGCTATTGCTGGGTCATAGAGGAGTTCTATTGTTAATTTTTTGAGGAACCTCCACACTGTTTTCCAGAGGGGCTGCACTGAATCTAGCCCTTTAGGGAAAAAATTTGGCACCCCTGTTTTTCAGCATCTGGCGTAGAATCAGAATATCGTGACTGCAGACTCTTTACTTTGCACATAAGGGAATTTGGTGTGACCATTCCCAGCAATTGGTGCTAGGAAATTGTTTCACAAGAGGAAAAAATTAAAACATTTCCATATTTCATACCAGAAGCAAAGTTCCAAGTGGATTAAATACCTAACTGTTAAGAGTGAACCTATAAAGCTGATAGACAAAAACTTAATATGTTTTGGTAATCTTCTAGTGGAGATGGGTTTGTTCCATAAGATTGACAGAGCACAAGCCATGAAAAGAAAATGGATGAGTACATCAGAATGAATCCTTTTTATTTAATGGATCAAATGATAAGAAAACTAACAGATGGTGAAAACATAATTGCCATGTTTGATAGACTAAGTAGGATCAATATTTAAATATACAGGAGACTCTGAAAAATCAGAAAATAGAAGGGAGAAAACCACTACGAAAGGGCCAAGTATGGATTGGCAATTCAAGAAGGAGAAATATGCACTTACACATATCACCCTGGAGACAAAGTAAAATTAAGGGATTCCATTTTGCCTATCATACCAATAAAAGCTAGCTAATCGGATACTCTCCAGTGCTGGCAAGGATGTGAGTAAATAGAAGTCTGCACATATTGCTTATGGGAATGCAAACTGGTGCCTCTATTTTAGAAAATCTAAATATTAAAACCAAATAATGGGACTCTAGCCCAGATACCCAGGGAAATCTATGTAAGGGTGGTCATCTGTGATATTTGGGGTTCAAGATTGGAGAAAATCTAGTTCTTCAGCATTAGAGGGACAAATAAGGAAAATTATAGTGTAATCCAGTGAGAGGGAATAACTAATGGGAAAGAGTGAATTCCATCAACATAGAAGATGAATGAGTCTCTAAAACAGTGTTGAGGAAAAAAAAGAAGGCAGAATGACATTTAATGCATGATAGGATTTACATACAAGATAGAAAAAACATGCAGGAGCCCTATGTATATTTGACATGACAATATACATATGTAAAAATACATATAATATATGTAAAATACAATATATATTATGTACATATAATTGAAATATAAATGATGTATATATTAGGATTATAAACAATACATTAATAATGAAAAAGTGAAGCTCTGTGGTTGAAAGAATGGAGCTGAGCATAGAGGATAAAGAAGAAATGATGAGAAAACTGAAAACCAGATGAAGAGCCTTTCAGAGACTCCTAGTAGGGGCTCATCAACTAGAACCTGTGCTGAAGCCAATTCTGGACAATCGTCCTTTACAAATTCTGGGTTCATTACTCCTTACAGCATTGTTAGATCCAGCTTCTCAAACAATGTCACCAGGCATAGGTCTCTCTGTCTTGGCTCTGCCCACCTCTCTGGATGTCAGGTGGACCCTTTTTAGTGTAACTTATAGTTGTTTGGGTTCATGTGGTAGCAGACTGGCAACTCAACAGAAAGAAAGTTCTTTCCCTGTAGCATCAGCAGTAATCTTCTTGTGGATCTCCTTTCTTTCAGTGGCTCATTTTTTTTGTCCTCTGTCCACTTTTGAACCAGCCATGTGACAGAAGCCCAAGGATGCCTGGATCATTTTCCTGTCCCTGGAGAGTCAGGCAGTGGGAATAACCCCACAAACAGAATATAGTGGGGCTATTACCCAAATAAAAATTTGGGTGGTATGGCCAGAAATAGACAGTAGATGCTGGACAGGCAACCCCATGCCCTCCCCCTCTTACAACCAAAAACCAAATAAGAATAATGATAATAAGACACGAAGAGCTGCAGTGGAGTTGAATCAATGCTGTTTGCAGAATGACTGAAGTGAATTGCCATGTTGTGTTAGAAAACCCAGGAGAAATGGAAAAAGGTTAACTCTGAATATCTGAAGTACTGCCTCTTGCATGATACTTCTTTCATCTGGCCCCAAGGCATAAATTCATGGCAAACAAATAGAGTTGGTAGGAAGGACAGCTATGTAATGGCTGGAATTGATTGTCTTAGAAGCAATGAATAGTGAACTTCCCATCACTGGGTATATTCAAGCATAGGCTAGCCAGTCAGTTGGCCCCGATTCTGTAGGCAAGGACCCAAGGATTGGGAGAATAGTTGGGTTTGATCATGGTTCTCAATCCTTTGGACAGCTTATTCAAGCATAGATTGCTAGGTGCTTTCCCACCCAGAGTTCCTAGTTTGGTGGGTCCAGAGTAGGAATTCAGAATTTATATTTCTAATTAGTCTCCAGGTATCGCTGGTCCAGGAAACACACCCTGAGAACCAGTGGGTACCTCAATTTTAAATATCCTTACTGGCCTTTCATTTTTATTAGCTGGTTGTAAATGTTCTGAAAACCAGTATTTATATCTTTGAGGCAAACCTTCCATTTTGTGTCTTTGTCCCTGAAATGTGTTTGGTTCTCGCTATATGGGTATTTCTATATGACAGTAGATGGCATTTGCATGGCCCTCTCTATCCTTTGAGTCCTTGAGAACATGAGGATCATTAAACACTTGTACATTTGTTGATATGCTTTGCAAAATCGTCAACCATATACTGACATTGTCTTTTTGTGATCTTCTTTCTGGTTTGCCATGGGCTGATCTATTCTCACAGATTTATAGTGGGTAGTTTCTGAATTGGAAAATGAGTGGTTTCCCAAAGAGGGTCTTAGGTACTTAGAAAGGAACGCTGCGATGCATACTTATAGGACTGATGGAAAATCATTACTTGGTACCCAAATGCCAAGTGCCAAATACTGATTCATTCGTCTTTCACTCTCTTGGCTTTCCCCTCAAAAGAAAATAGGAAACATTTCACACCTGCATTAACCGGGAGTCGTTCTCATCTTGCACTCTGTTTTGCCGTTTCTTTTTTCTCAGAAATTTCCCCTTCAATTTTGGAATTCTTACCAGAAGAGTTCTTTGGAAGTGCTCCTGTTTTTGTAGTTGTAGGTGAGGTCAAATGGTGTTTGTACTTTGTGTACATTGCTTTTACGTAAATAGAGATAAAACCATTTAAGAAAAGCATTTAAGAATTAACTGGTTTATAGTCCATTCTTACCAATTAAAAATTTCAGCTTAGCAAAGATGAGGAAATGAATGGATGGAAATAACCTGACAGGTGGAACCTAGTAAATTTGGGTTAAGGGGACAACTTGATGTACAGAGGGATTTAAGAAGACTTTGTTGTCCATGTGCAAGGTACTGCTTAAAAACAGTCAAGGCAACACTGGATAAGGAGAAGAGCCTATTTGAGGAGGACTTGCCAAGAATCCTTCTTAGTAGACATGAAATGGGGAACAGCTTCAATGGTTACTACTTTGCAACTAAGAATCTGTAGTATTGCAACTTGCTTTCTTTAGAGTTGCGTATAATCTGAGTTTCTCATGTCAATTTTATATATGCTCATTTCCTAAATCTTGTCTTTCAGGCTTCAGCTGTGAAGAAATGTCATTCAGATTTGGCCAACACCTCATCAAGCCCTCTGTGGTTTTTCTCAAAACGGAACTGTCCTTTGCTCTTGTGAACAGGAAACCTGTGGTACCGGGACGTATCCTTTTGTTTTGTTTTAAGACAGGAAAAATAAAAAGCGTCTGAACTTAACAGACCAAAGGATTACAGCCTTGGCCTCCAGTGTCGGTCTGAAAAAGAAAACAAGGGCTCCGCCTTCCTCCCCCTTTGGAGAAACCAGGTAAGACGTTGCATTTATTCCAAATCCAGTTGGTGGCACCAGTAATATGCTTGATCAATGTTGCAGAACTTTCTGAAAAGAGTTGCTTAGCAACTGTGGCTTTGGAGGTGAATTTTTACTTGACCTTTTCAATATAGTAGCTGTGTAAATAAATAGGTGCTCCTAAAGTGGGCCCAATGAATACCATAGGTGCTCTGTTTTCAGAAGTTATCAGTAACGAATCTTAAAAGAGAGGTTGGGTGGCATTTTCACGGTGTGGAAATAAGGTATTCCCTAAGGATTTGGGACTGACTGGGTGTCTTTACCTTTAGGGATCATTCTAGCAAATTCATACACCTCAATATACATAAAAATAGGTTTTGTTTTTTTTTCATTTTAGGATCTGAAATAGCATTTTTGTTTTTTCTTGGAGAGCATCCCAGTTTCTGGATCATCATTCACTATCATTGGTGGTAGAGTTTTATTTCTCTCTGACCATTGACTTGTAGTCTTTCCTGTTACTGACTTCAGTAGCTTTATTCTTTGCCGTGGGAGCGACAGGAATTGGTGAATTGTTGTGGAGTTATTTTTATGTTGCTGAAAGTATCACTCATGACTGTGTCAAGCGACTTTTGTACTGACTCTTTAGAATTATTTTTTTCTCTTTTCCCTCTAATTTAATTTACTATGCAGAGGGCAACAAAGTGCAGAATTTCGTATTTTAAGGTAATAAACATTTTCCACACTAAGACATGATTTTACTTTGAAATAAATGTCTCTGTAATTTTGAATCTATAAAAATACATCAAGATTTTTATTTCCAGTGTAAGTTTTACATATTTATTTCTTTTTTTTTTCCTATGGGAATTTTCAAAGTGTGTGAGAACTTCACGAATAATTTCCTTTCTTGACCATAAAACTGATATAACATTGGGGAAAAAAACACAAATAAGAAAAAAGCACCAAAAGATAATTGTGATGTTCTGTTAGACACCCAGATTCCTTGAATTTAATTTTGACTAAATTCTGTAAATTTATAAAACTAATGATCACAGCAGTTAACTGCTAAATGGTATGTAAATTACTTCTTGTTATTTAACTCTGCCTTTAAGCTTATAAAAAAGTCTAAATTATAAATAGTAAATATTTAAAAATATTATTTCTTGTCTATTGAAGTAGAAAAAAAAACTAGAATGATTCAGGAAAGTCCTATAAAAAAGAACAATTTTAAAGCTGCATGTCAGTTTTCTTTTGAGTTCTTCTAAGAGACTTGGAAGTTCTTAAAATAACAGAAGCACTTTAGTTTTTCATTTCATTCTGCTGCAAGTTTGTGGTTGTCGTTTTCCTCTGTGGATTTTTTTTTAAATGGTTGAGCACTCTGGTGTCAAAAGAATATGGTTGAAATGCCATATCTCTTTGAGTGCCAGCCTTAATTGGCTTTTATCTTCTATCAAAGAAGGTACCTGGGATGAAAATGTGATTGTAGATGAACAAATTTTAATACCTTGGCCTGGAAGAATGTGAGGTTGCAGAGTTTTACTGCTTTTTTAGTGGTTAATAATGGAATGACTTTAGCTTTATGATTTTATTTTTTTACTCATATCTTGATAGTAGGACACTTGATTTTCACGGTCTTTTAAAAAAGTTTTTAAATATTTTTTATTTATTTCTGAGAGAGAGATACAGCATGAGCAAGGCAGGGTCAGAGAGAGAGGGGGACCCAGAATCTGAAAGAGGCTCCAGGCTCTGAGCTAGCTGTTAGCACAGAGCCCCGATGTGGGGCTCCAACCCACGAACTGTCAGATCATGACCTGAGCTGAACTCAGACACTTAACCGATTGAGCCACGCAGGCACCCCTTCATGGTCTTTTTAACCAATTTGGCAGGTGCGATGCAAGACCTAGGTCATAAGCATGCTTGTACTTGAGAAAAGTTGAGGTGTCTGCTTCTAGGAAAACGCATGTACCCAACAGTGAGCAGTTAGTGAATGATGACTAGTCTTTTTCCCGATGGCTTTGGAGTTGCCATTTTAGAAATGGATCCTGGTCGGGTTTCGTATCTTTGAGTAAATGCCAGGGACATGAGTGATGTCGCATTAAAAGGAAGAAACCTCAGTTTGCTGGGAAGGTAGCAAGAACGAGCCGACCCTCTCTGAGGATAACAGAACAGATGCTTTTATAATCTGTATACTGTGTAAGCCATTTCATATCTGCCAGGTTGAAAGGGGTCTCAGGGCCAGTAGATAATGTATTCAGACAATCCTTTTTATATGAAGATTTTGTGGTTTTATTTTTAATTTTACCTTTGTAAACTTGGCTAGGTGACAACTGTGAGAAGAATCTTAATACGTTTCTCCTTCGGCTGCAGAAAGCGATATTCTTTTGTCTTGTGATTTGGAAATTGAAGCTGTAGATAGCTCTGCCCACTAACATTTCATAAAATAAATGGTGAGATGCCTGCAGTGGGCTCTCCTCTTCCCCCACTGTTGTGTTCTGTCTGCTATGCGAGCCCCTTGGTGTGGGTCTCCTAAGTCTTTACAGCATCTTGCATCCTCCCTGCTCCTGGACTTCTCTGCAGCCCACCCTCATTCTAGACCACAGTTTCCATTCTGTCTTTCTCCTTCCTAGTCCCTTGCAAACAAGCCACTAATGAATATAATGAACATTTTCTTTTGAGAGAAGGTCCAGACTCCTTAGCATAGTTTTAAAAGATTTTCACTGTATATTTTAATGTTTTCTTTATTTTTGAGAGAGATTGAGAGAGAGACAGAGCGTGAGCGGTGGAGGGGCAGTGCGAAAGAGGGAGATGCAGAATCCGAAGCAGGCTCTAGGCTCTGAGCTGTTAGCACAGAGCCTGACAGGGGCCTCCAACTCACAAACTGCAAGATCATGACCTGAGCCGAAGTCAGACGCTTAACCGACTGAGTCTCCCAGGCGCCCCTCAGACATTTTCACTTTCTTGACTCAACCTTCCCCCTTTAGAACTATTTCCTAAGCAGGTGTTGCTTTTCCCTTCGGCAGGTTCCCCACCTCTGGCCACCTTTAACCTTGCCTTTCTCTTTGAAGTGAGATCCTACCCATCCTTTATTGTTTCAACTAAAATGTTTTGGGGGCGCCTGGGTGGCTTAGCCGGTTAAGCGTCCGACTTTCACTTAGGTCATGATCTCGTGGTTCGTGGGTTCGAGCCCCGCGTCGGGCTCTGTGCTGACTGCCAGCTCAGNCCGCGTCGGGCTCTGTGCTGACTGCCAGCTCAGAGCCTGGAGCCTGTTTCAGTCTGTGACTCCCTCTCTCTCTGACCCTCCCCTCCTCACGCTGTCTCTCTCTCTCTCTCCTAGAAATAAATAAAACATTAAAAAACAATAGGTTTTGATACCTGCCTTGCCCTCTCAGGAAGTAAATGTTCAGTCCTTTCTTTGACTCTCGACTCCTTATTTGCATGTTGATTCATGCAGCACTTTATCATGGAGCTTCTACTCTGTGCCAGGCCATGGACCCAACACTTAGCCAGTCTGCCTCAGTACTATGTGCATTCTTGTTTGTCTCTGTGCTGAGTCTTTCGTTCCTAGAAAGGGGTAGGGGAGGAGCTCTCGCACATCTATTTTTCCTCAGCATCAGACGTACTATCCTGACTGAATTCAAAGTGAAGCTATAAACATCAGGAGCATATGGATCATTTCTGTGTATGGAGTAGGGGCAGTGAGGGTCCATGGAAATCCTGCATTTTCAGTATGCCCAATCACCAGCCAGATCTCCTTCCCATTTCATTCCAGAACTTTTAGTATCCTATTCAAGCTATATTTTTTTTTTTCAGTTTTCCTCTGCTTGGACAGTTGCCATCCTGTTTACGTGTCAGTGTTTTAAGTGTACAGAGTTAAGTCTAGAAGTGGTGAATGAATTGATAGCAGATGGGAAAAGATTTTTTTTTTTGGCATGTCAAGTTTCAATGGATACATCTGTATTTTAAGGGCAGTATATTGCATCTTGATGTGAATGGGAAGTTATTATTTTGTATTTGTGATAATTTCTCTTTAAAAAGAGTATTTAGGTGGCCTTTGGGGAATGTGCCATTCACGGGACTTGTAAATGTCATCTTTGAGCTTGTGTCCTCTCTAACATTTTGCTCCCTCTCCCCAACCCTTTTTTCTTAGGATTTTGCTCACTGACTTTTTCATACCTTTCAGAGGAGGAAAAGAACTGTCAGATCAGGGGCCAAAGATAAGCTTTTGAAGCAAGACTATTTGCTTCCTTCTCAAAAGACCCACTTGAATCCCTCCCTGGCCCCACCAAAAGCAAATACTTCTGTTCATCGCAAACAGTGTTTAAAGCTGATTGAATAGGCTTTGGCCTCTGTGGTGCAATGCTCTAGAAGGATATGTCAGAATGTCTTTAATCCATTAATTTCTTATTCCTGGAAAATGCTTTTCAGAGCGTCTTGGTGAGAGAACAGAAGCATTTTGGAGATTGCATCTTCAGAATTCTGCAGTGAACATTTTTTCACGGACTTCCGTGCAGTCCAGCTATTGTTCATGGCTTAAGTAAACTTGAGCCAGTATGGTTAATACTTCTCCGCACCCCGTTCCCTTGCATTGTGCTCCGTCTCCCTCCCATCTTGAGCATGAAAAATGAATTTGAGTATTAATGGAATCCATTTAGAGACTGGGGCTTTTATGGTAAATAAAATTATTCATTTGTTATGTCCTGTTGTTTTCAGCAGACTGTGTATCGATCTTCGGATTGCTATTCAGAATGGCAGAAGGGGCCGTAATGAAAGGGGAGCACAGCAACGTTTGTGAGCAGGTTGAATGCAGTGTGTAATGACAGAGATAAACCTGGCTTGCCGGCCGTACTCTATTATACAAATCATTTGTCAACAGTTTATTG